CATATATAAACAGTTGATCACTTATAAAATAAATATTTAATATCAGTTAAAACCAACAAAAGAGGTCAGGACCAATATACAGAAATCTTCCCTCTACCAAACCACAGCAATGGACTAAAACTATGATACCGAAGGCTGAGATCCTTATTCCCCTACTTTAGTGCCTTTATCATTTCTAATCTTAAAAATCCTAAATCTCGCCGATCTTACTTTTTTCTGAAAGACTTGTACTCCTTGATGCCTTTGCAACAGCAGCCCATAAACCTTCAGGCCCACATTACGCTGTATTGATTAAAAGAGTAATTCAGAAAGCCTAGGGAAAAGGGAAGGGGAGCTGAACAATCACAGTCAATCTCATCACCTCAATGACACACTGTGAGTGTAATTAATCCTACATTTATTTAGAGAACTTCACACCCTACACATCAAGCAGCAACTCCCTGCTGGCTTCTGACTAGGTAATTATGTTGTAACAAGGACTAGGTTTTGATTATAACAAAGAGATGAAAAGGAAAACAGAGCTATGAAGCTAGGATATCTTTTAGGGTATGTCTAACCTGCAAATCAACAGAAGCAAACGGAACATGTTTAGCAATATTGACTTGGCTTTAGTCTAGTTCCAATAAAGATACCAGCTTCTACAGAGGCTGCATAAATGACACCAGGGATCCTGGTTCTTTAAAGCTTACTCTAAAGCAAACAGTCCATGCTTGAACTGGCACGTTATAGCTGGAGTCATCCAAATTAGCAAGATTACATTTGTCGTAGGTGTAAGTATATGTACTCTGCAACGAGGAGGTGTGACTGCAGAGCATGTACACACCAAAGCAGCCTGTGCGCAGGTGTCATAAATCAAGTTGCAGGCACAGTTCCACGGGACATGCTGAAGCAATTTAGTGGCTCATCCCTCTTAACGTAATAGATCTCCTTTACCGTGAGTCAAATCTACAGCAACACACCATGTGAATAATGACTTCAGAATTTTTTGCAGTAGAACAGATCATGAAAAAAAGATGAGATGGTAAGATAAAACTATGCTGTTGGAAATACAATGCAAATTATATGGGATCAAACATCTTACTCTTCTGCATTCCTTGAACCCACGAACTTTGGAGATGTATAAACCATAAAGCTGCCTAAGTGTAACTACCCCTGGAGAACTGCCAGGGGCCCTACCAGCTCTAAATCCATTTCAGGAACACAGGAAACATACGTTTACCAATAATGAAGTGGTATACGTTTAAACCCAAACATGTATTTAAATGTTAGGTAAACATACTTTAAATCGGCATGGGCTCAATTGTTTTCTTCCACAGGGATGCAGAACGGCACGCACTTAACTGCTTGCACCACGACTCGAAGCTGTTCAGCCCTGCACTCCGCCACTGATCTTACAGCCAGCAGCATCACACGGCTGAGCTACCAACAGAGAGCGGTGCAAACTGGAGTACAAAGCACTGGAGAAAGACATCAGGCTACACAAAGGAACCTCAGCACAGCAGAAGTCAGTGGGTGAACTACTCTGACATCTGTCTGTAAGGGAAACAACTCCTATGGGGTCACAGACAGAACTATCCTCCAGCAAGGAAAGGGAAGGAAGAAGTTCTTCTGCAATAAACCCACACTTGATTCCCCACTCTTCACAGCCCATACGTAGCTATGAGACTACCAGTGGTTCCCCAAAGCTCTCTCTCCTCTCCCTCATCTTCTTCTGCTTTTTATACCAGAATGGTGCAAAAGACAGAAAAGCTCAGACTTGTATTACAAGTCCAGTTGTAACCTCACTTTGGAGAGGCTGCCATATGTATCATAGCGGTTTGTAAAAGCTCTGACCTAAAGAAGAAAAGCATGCAAACCAGACAAATTAAATTTAATTTTATTATGGAAATGAAAGTAGTAACAGAAGTGACAGCAGGGTGGATGATAAGCTCACTTAGCAGGGGGATCAAATGAAGTGATGACATGTCATTATGACCTCAGGGGTTAAAGATGCAATTTTCCATCTGGCTGCATCTGGCTTTTCAACATAAATGTTGACACCACCTGCCGAGACTTACGACAAGCTGCCTGCATAGGTCTTTGTCGAGCTTTTGTTACCCAGGTTAACCTTTACTTTTCTCTCTCTTCTGATAGGTTTTGCTGAGCAACATGCTCCCTTCCTTCAAAACACGATGGAGTTAAAATGATTTTACGTGCCATTTTATACCACAGAACCGTATTTATTTCACAAGCAAGCTGGAAGCCTAAAAAGCAGGTAAAACTAAACTTAAGACTGCAAAAGAAAAGATGAAACTTCAGCTATACTTGCTAGTATCTTTTATTATCTAAGATTTTCAATAATTTACTTTTAGTTACAAGTACCTCAATAAAATCAGTTTCTCAAAAAATCCTTAGAATTAGAGCACTGGATTGTACTCACCATATCCAACATATTAGCCACCTGCATTTGTTTTTATTCAGAAGCTTAATCATTTCCAATTCCAGACACACTGTGCTTAAAATAAATCATCTTCTGCCAGCCCAGTGACACATTCACTTATTCATCTAATTTAGCCACAGCCAAACGATGATCTCAAACCATATTTGTAATCTGCTATTGACACACTGCTGGCTATAAGGTTTTGTTTCCACTCTGAAATTTAAAAGGTAGTAACTACCTGTGGTGCTCCCTTCCCAAAGGCTTCATCTTGACTATTACTCTCTTACTACCATACGATATATCCATTGTACTTCTGCCTGTGTCATTGTTTTTTTCCTAAACCTATGACTCCCAGAGTTTTCTCTGCCAGTACAGGTGAGCTAAAAATCTTGCTTCCAGCTGTTTTTAAAGTGCCCAGATTCTTCACTAAAAATAACCTACAATCTGTTTTAACTGTTAAACAGAGGCCCCAACCTCCACTAGGACTGGGTAACATCTCATGGAAAGAGAGGAAGAAAAGAAAAACCCTTCACAGATTTTTGAGAGTAACCTGGGACTACAACTATGAATAGAGAGGAGAAAACAGAGACAAAGAAGATTAATGAAGCTTGCACAGAGCAAAGAATAGCTAAGAAACAAAACAGAGAAAGTATCCAAACCAAGTGGATACGCAAATTATTTCATTAAAAGACCACTAAAGAAACCTATAAATTCTTTCCCCTCCCAAAACTCTTTCCCACAGAGGCAATTATCAGAGAGCTGTAACAACTTTCTGCCCCTGGAATGGCATGTGTACCACCCTTCCATCCCAACGCCTTACTCACCTTGGGGAGCTGGAACCCTTGTTCTTACCAGACTATTCCCCACTCCTTTCTAAATCTGTTAGGTATTTTCTGAGTGAAAAGTGGACTCAGTAATTGCCTTCAACACTTACAAGGGAAAAAAAAAGTGCCCCCACTCACCTAGAACATGCTTAACTTCAAGCACATGCTTCACTGCTAAACTGAACCAGGAATGACTTAAGCATATGCTTAAATGCTTTCCTGATTCAGGCAAGTTCATTCCTAAAAATATGAAATGGTTTCTACTGTTCCTCTTTCTCTTGTTCTCCTAATGACAGACAACTATTGTGCCATGTCATTATGACAGTAAGATAGCTTAATTGCCCTCTTTCCAGAAGCTGTCAGTTCTGCTTAACTGGTACATAATGTATGTGTCTGGCAGTAAATGTGTTAATGTAGCAGTCACTTATACCTACCATACATTCTTTTCTGCTATGTTTAAAGAAATTCTTGGGTTTTCTGACTGACCTCCTTATCAATGCATTCACTGATATGGGCAGCAGTGATATCACTGTTCTGTGACTCATTTCTTTGTGAAAGATCATGAAATAACTCCCTCTTTCATTTACTTTTTCAAGTCAACTTCAACCTGAACATGAATTTCCTCATACTTGTATTAAAGGTCTGGGTGAAAAGGACCCCCCAGGAATGGAGAATTGAAACAAACTGGCTGCTCTTGTAACTAACCAGGTTTCATCAATCAAAAATTTTGGAAACATCCATAATTGCTTTTGTGTATCATCACCTGCAGGAGCATGATCTTTTTAACATATAGAGAAGAATAAGACTCATTTATATGAATAGCACATACTAAGCAGTTGTGAACAAAAGGACTTTAACTTATGAAAGAGAAGTGAGCCAGCCTGCACGCTGCCCTTTCTGATTGTGAGAATTACCAAGCTCCCTCTATATCCCCTCATCACTTCTAGTATCTTGCACACTGACTATTTCTTACCCACAGATAACCCATCTTGAATTGTGAGCTAGAAGGCAAAGACTACGTTTACCCATTGTTAGGAAATCTCTATGTTGCTATATTATCAAACATGACAATGGCACTTTTTGTATTTGTATTAGAAGGCCGTGATTCCCAGATTCAGTCTGGAAGTGGCAGAGTCACTGTTTCCTCTCCAGAGGAGTGGAAGCCGAAGCATATTGCCAGGCAGAGTGAGCTGGCAAGCAACTACAGGGGCAACAGTATACAGCACACAGATTTGAGACACTTATTCTGGTGTTAATAATCAATTGGTACACCTGCTCTAGTTCATAAATCAACTGTTTCATACAGATTTAAATGGTCTGTATGTGCATTTTACCTGAATTGGAAGCTGTCAATACTGTAAGTAATTGTAAATTCAATGCTGAACTCGAATTTGTTCCAACCATCTTCCGGATGTTACATAAGTTCTCTAAAATCTCTTACTCCTAGGACTGCAATGGCATGAAAATTCCCCTAAAGCTGTTTTTCCCCTAAACCATTAATAATCAATGAAAATTCACACCTATATTTAAAACGCAACTCCTCCCTCCCTTCTCCAGTGATGCCACTAAATAAAAAAAATGAACTGGATGTCTTCTCCCATGTTGTAGGAATACCTGGATAACAAGGTTACGAAATGAAATAACTGAAAACATTTCCTTTTATAGGATGTAGCCTGTATTTTAATTTACTGATTATTTGTTCCTACATGCAGTATGCTACAAACCTTTCCCACATCAATAACAAGTTAAGAACTTACTTGGTTTTTTGAATCCAGACGCAGTAGTCTGTAATGAAGAGATCGTTAAGGAGGTAGGCAGGGTCGCTCTCCCTAAAAATCTTGTGAATGTCCAGCAGACACTTCAAAACCGCAGCTCTTCCTGGAAATAGATTTTTATTTCTGTAATTCACTAGAAATTAGTCATTATGATTTCTATCTTCTTCCCACCTTTGAGACTTTAATAACAGCTATCTACAACCACCTTGTAACTTTAACTTGATTCACCGTCTCAGAATTGCAGTCAGATGACTGCCCCTCAGCTCCCACATCTCTGTGGATGCAGAGCCTCCGACTTCAGCAAGAAAATCTCTGCAAGACTGAAGCCTCGAGGCACAGTCATGCGTGTAATTCTCAACAGCTCAAGAAGCCCCCTCCCCCTGCCTCTCCTTTCTTCTCACTGTATGGCTCTATACCACATCAAAAATAAAACAAGCTGGAAAGTAACTCGCGGATAACAAAAAGGTTATGCCCCATCATCATTCCCCTGCTGAAAAAAACATAAAGCCTATTTCTCTGTATGCCTACACAAACACCTGCATTGAGGAAAAATAAAGTTGGAAACACACAGCCCAGAGCAGGATCAGGCACCCAGAAGCCACAGCAATTGTGTAAGCCCGTGTAAGTGATACCATTGCCTAACAGCTAACAATTGCTTTAAATTAAGCAGAACTTTCCCTACTGCTCTTAGTTACAGAGTAACTTGGCAAGCTGAGCCTCCAGAAAGAAAAATTCACTTCAGGCTCAAGAAAGTGCCATTTGATGTCCAGTTGATAAATGCAGAAAAAGATAAAGCCTTGAACATTTCCTCATTCCACAACCAGAAATCTTTCTGCAGTCGGTTTGTTTCTGTTCATATGCAATTATTCCCTATTCGTAACTTCTCTTCTTCATGTAAATTCCAATTAACTAAAATCTCCTCCTTCAGTTTTCTGATGGAAGTTGCTAAGGGGTTAAAGGCTGGCACACTAAACAACAAAAAAAAAAATATTTTCACTGCTTAATGGGGGAAAAAACATTCAAATGAAAACAGCCACTACTGCAAATGGAATCTAATAACCCTCTCCCAAGAGACTGGCTCCTCCTAGGCTATGAAACCTGAACATGGATGAAATTACATTTTACAGAATTAAAAAAAGGAAAAAAGATCAGAACTCCCCCTGCTGTTTGAGCACAAAATTTTTGTTTGTTGCTTGTTGTGGAGTAATTCCATGCTGAAAAATATATAGACAGAGAAAGAAAGTGAAAAGATAGGGAAGACCATGGTATAGAAAGAGAACACAGAGCACAAAGCAATGGCAAACAAAAATAAAAAACGTGTATCGAAAGTACTATTTTGGAAAAGAAGCAATTGAAGAAAAGTCAGGAAAGAATGCAAAAGAAATGACAAATCCCAAGTATAACTGCTGAACTTTCAGACTCCATCACCATCAATGCCTGTCAAACCAAACCTGTCAAACCGAACTATTTTGACTACAAAGAAGTATGCTCTTTTAAAAAGAAATTATACATGGAATTAAAATTTTGCTCAACTTTTTGGTTCTAGCTGTCAAGCTGCCAGCCTGAACCATTTACAACATCCACTACATTTACTCAACTGCCAAGTAACTATGTAAATTAGTGACTCGAACACTAATTCTCAACAAAGAAGTAGTCCTTCTTCATTAATTACAATTTTAGATTACTGTAGCTTAACATCTCTGTCCTCACAGAGGCTGCAGCTCTAGCCAGCCTTAATCCCTGCTCAGCATGGGCATTCAGGAACACCAGAGCTGTGCCTGTGTTAGCAGAGGCAGCTCCCAGCTCCTCTTTCAGCCCACGGCTGCACGGTGAGCAGCTGCCTGTGCTGGTGAATCGCAGCATCTTCTGCACAGAGATGACTTCAGTGATGCCCACCTTACCTCTGCCTTGGAACACTTCCAAATCCTGTATATATTTAAAACATGCTATGCGTTCTTGTAATAAAAATATGATTTTGTACACCACTACGGGACACTTCATTTGTGAAACACGACCAGAAGATTACACTGTATTTACAAAACTGACTTTGAGTAAGTATGCAGATAAAGCATCCCAGAGATGGGGCACTGTAGTCTGTCTTCATGGTCTGGGGTGTTTTTCTGACTTTTCAGACAATTTGCTATTACAATTAACATACTGACTCTGTAATCTTATGTGTTTTTTCCCCCCATAATTTCACTGGAAAGGGAATATATAATTTTATATTTAACTTACAGATTAAGGAAATTATCTCTACTAAGTCACACTGCACATACCAAGATAGGATGGGAAACAAGACAGCTGCTTTTTTTGGCAGCTCAACCCTTCTTTGCTAAGATATGCCGACATTAATGTAGATTAAAGTTTCATCATGTTGCCTCTTAAGATCATACATCTCTTCTGTTACAAGAATAAAAAAATAACTTTGTGTCTGAGCGATACACGAGTGGGAATGCTAGATGGTGAAGGCAGGCTGGGAACAGCAGGGGTAAAAACGTGGCTCTGGAGGACTCTGTGACACTGCCATCAGCAATCCCATCCCAGTCCTGACATTCCAGGGGAGACTGATTTAAATTAAGTCAGCAGAAAGTTATATCAAGCGCAGTTAAGTTACACTGGAGGTAGGCATTCCCTCTGTTTCACTGCAGCAGCCCTTACCAACAGCCACCCTCCTCCTCCTCCGGCAGCCGAAGTCCTGCAGGGGGTGGCCGAGCAATGACAGAAGCACATCTCCCTGCCTTTGGGAACTCAGAGCAATGCCTGGTACAGTTGTCGATCAACAACAGCAATAAATTAGCTGAGGGAATACAAGCATGGTTTTCAGATGTGGTAACAACGATGGGAAAAGATGAAAGTGTCAGCAACACACGCATGACGATCTTCAGCTGAGGAGACAGAACACTGAAACAAAATGAAAGCAAATGGAAAAGAAAAACAGCTCTTCAGTGGATTTGCTTGGGTTCACACGTTCACACGGAGATTTTATGTATGCACATGCACGCAACACATCAAACAGGGAATCCCACACAGGACGAACACAAAGCACAGCAAACACACTTCTGCTTTCAGGATATGCATCTTATACGCGTACCCAGTAAATAAGTCCCTATAAAAACTTCTTACCACAGGAATAAAAAATAAGCACTGAAGAACAAACACTAGTTAAGCCTTGAAGTAGGGTATCCCATGAAATACAGATGATTCTCAGCCAATTTTTGTGAAATCCCATACCCTTATGTTTTGTCTTTGGATACACCCACTTCAGTCTCCAGCAGGCACCCAGCCTTCCCTTTCGGGCTGCAGCTCAGTACCCAGCACCATTCCTGCTCACGCTGCCTTCAGCGCCCTGCTGCACTCCTGCACCTCGCCCTTCTGCACAGCTCTTCGTGATGTGCCAGTGGCAGTGTTTGTGAAACCGTACAGCGAGCTGGAACAGGGTACTGGTGAAGCCAAAAGATGAACAGGTACGGGAATTTTTTGGCAGTTATGTCAGTCTCACTCACAGAAATGTTGCCTGTCAAAGCAAAGCTAAAACGTGCTAGTTTTAAAAGTCTCACTTCTTTTCTAGCCCTAGAATTCTCATTTTTTAAAATTCACCACACATTAAAAGTTGGGGTCTTGGAAATGGGGTCTCTGACATTTCACTTCCTTTCCTGACGTTTACAATCATCCCACTTGTGCTGGGCACAGGATGAGGGTGGCAGCAGCCTCAGAGGAAGAGCAACAGAGGCTGAGCACCCAGGGCTGAAGTTCCAGAAGTCAGAGCACGGCTGCAGATCACTGGGTTCTGCTGGAGTTCACTGCTTCCACAGCTGGCAGGGGGCAGCCCACAGCTGGAGTTCTAGATTGTTTCAGAAATTCAGTTCTTCCCACACATGACTTCAGAAATTGATATAATTCAACCCCAGCTATTTGCCACTTGATACCAAAACTACTGTTTTTACACAATCATGAAATTCTGCTGGTTTTAATACTGAATGTTTAGAAGTAAATTCATTCTTTCATTTTACTTTATTTTGCCTATAGCCTATATTTTTCCATACGTGCAAGAAGGAACATTCACCTAAAGAAATAAACCGAACTTTGCTGTCTCATTAAGCAGAGAGAAGAACGCCATTCTGAAAAACAAGCAAAGGACTCCTCTGACTTCTGAATGAAAATCTCCTGGCAATAAGTTACCCTGCAGCCAACAGCGATAATTATTTCGCCCTAAATCTATGAGCATTAACTTCTGCGTGGAAAGAGGCGAAGCATATTTCGTGTCACAGAGGATAAATAAGTCCCCTATTTTTAGCTCATAGATGATGGCTTCCAAATCAGCATTAGGCAATGGTAGCACAATGGCAGTAAATACTGACAGAACCAGCTCGTGCCACGTACTTACTACAAGTCTCCTGAAAAAGGGCTCCATATATTTCCATAAATGCAGAACACAGATTTTGCTTGAAATAGCACTGTAGCTAGTATGTACCACTATTTCATTCCATTTTTTAATTATCCAAAGAACAGTAGAGCACATATCCTAGACAACACTGAAGTTTGAACAGCATTGCTGAAGTATTTTACATATTATTGCTAACTAAAACAGAATGAGAAAATCTGCTAAAGACCTTAATATTAATCAGCTTAATGCATTTTGTCTTATGATTAACACTTTGGTGGGAAGTCATAATTCAAATTAAGAAGCGTTTCAACCTCATGCAAATTCCTTAATACCTTAAAAATGAAGTATTCTGTGTTTTTGAAGTGATACATCAAGATAGCACCAGCATTTAAAAATAAAGTCAAATACCTTGACATAAAACAGTTCAAATCCATCAGAATTCTTTACTAGTACTCAAGAAATTATTTTACTGTGTTCATTTCTTTAGAATTCAAGAACTTTTTAAAAGCAGAATATTTATTTCCTCAATTATTTTGTTAATAGTGGAAAAATTGTATGGAAAAACTGTCAACTTTCCTAATACCTGTCTATTAAGTTGCTTCAATTTTACACTTGGATTATTCCTATCCTGGTACACAAAATTTCAAATCTGCAGCTAGTATTTTGAGCACATAAATACATGTACGAACACACCTGGGCCAAACTGCACCCAAAATACCCTGATTTTATTATCAAAACCATTATGTATCCCATCTTCTGCTACCAGCACTCTGTAAAGAAAACTTAAGTCAGGATGCCATCAGCTGAACCCAACACTTCCTTGGAGTCCCACTTGTCCCCTTGCACAGCAAGGAATAGTTTTGTGGTCCTGTCTGACTGCATTCATTACCTGTTAGCTGACAGTCATTTTTACCTGCACTCCTCACACCTACACTGCAACACAGTGCTGAATCAGGTTGGTGATACATCCCGTGCACTAAACAAGAAGGGTAACAGAGCCCAGTATTCTGTAAAAAGAAATCCCTCAAAAGCATGGCTTGACCTCCAGTGAAATCTGAAGGCAAAAACATTCTCACTGAACAAACAGGCCTTAGCCATACAAGCAGTATCTACAAACACATTTCTTCTGACACTTTTTTCCCCCCCCCACTGACTGTAGGTAGGTATTATTTCCAATTTTTATCTTTCCCAATACTTTGGTAGTTGGCTATTTAAAAAAAAACAACTTTTCACTCTAAACACACATGACAATAGGAAAGTAATAGGAAAGACTAATTTGATGCATAAAACCCAGAGTTTTCACAACAGCCAGTAATAATCACTCTTACTCTTATCACCACACTGCTAACTTGCTAACATCCTTCCCAACAGCCTTACAGCCACATGAAGAAAATCACGTATTTGTGTCAACTTCCCGGGCAGCACCCGGAGATAATCACTGCTCCTGCTGAAGATAACGCCCTCCTCTCTGTTGTTAACAGCTCTGGCTGAAACGGGCACACATCCCTTTTTGTGAGGCTCACATCTGCCTTTCCAGCACCGCTGAGGCAGCCAGAGCCCCCATCCTGAGCCCTTGTTAGGATGCACGTCCACGATCTGTTCTTCTTTTGGTTACCAATGGGTACACAAGAGTGTTTGTGCACAGCTGCACAAGTGAAGTTGGAATAACCTTAGTTTTGAAAGTTTGTCCTTTGGCCAGGAGAGCAGGAATTCAATGTTACATTAAAATTCCTTTCTGCTAAAATCCTAACAGGATTGACAAGGGTCAAATTAAAAGAACTGATCTTCCAAACAATAAATCCTACTAAGAAAGCTGTTCAGATTCATGACTGATCAGCAGAATATGAACTGAACAGTTGGAACAGCTGAAGAGGATGCTTTAAGAACTTCCTTTAAATGGAGACAAACCATGAAAGTCAGAAATCCTAGTCTTTCCTTTCCTAGGCCTTCAGTCAGGTAATTGAAGAAGATTAAGAGCAGCAAAACAACAGAATTCCTGCTACATTTGTAGCAATAAGTGACTCTGCTCTGAAATATATCAGAAATAAAAAACATAAGACACCATTAGAATAGGGTCTAAAACAATTATCGTACCTAACCTACCATAAAAAAGCTTTATTAATGTTATTTATTAACAGAAAAAAATCTTTAAAAACAGAAAAATACAGCATAAAGAAAAATACTTTAGAATTCAACATCATGTTAATAATTACAGTAATTTTCTCTGAAGACCTTTTCCCTAAAGCTTTACAAATCACAGTTGGGCTACACTGATTTATTAAGATACTAGCTCTGATCAAAGCTTTTTCTGAGGATGAGATATTCATAACACTTGTGTGGATTTTCTGGTGTGAATAATGTAGCTGAATTTCTCCCCAACTGCATGCATTATCTGCTGCCTAATTAATGAGCTGCTTCACAGGCTCTTTCCTGGCAAGTACACTAATTTTGTTCCCTTCGCTCCGCGGTCTCCTTTTCACAAAGCCAGCAGATGTCCAGGAATGTGGCCATCTATCAAGTTCAGGTGAAACGCGCCAAAAGATTAGAAAGTATTTTTGTTGTTTCTTTGTTTTTGTTTTGTTTTGTCTGTGTGGATTTTTTTTAACAAACATCCAAACAATGTGGCTGAATGCTTACCTAGTTGTAGTATCATGACTGTATCATTCAAGGCACGTGTCACCAAGTCGAAATGTCTGTGCAGTGGATAGCAGAGCACTCGTCTTCCAAAACATACCACAACATCATGAATGTCATAAAAACACTGCATATGTCAATGAAAAATCTGAATTAGTCTGTGTACTTCTCAATACAAAGAACTACTATTTCTTTTTATATATATAGCGAAAAGTTTATATACATAAGGAAAAGTAGCATAGATAAAAAGTAGTTTATGTATTACACATCTAAAATCTGTACTTTGATAGACACGAAAATCAACATGTTAAATGGAAACAAGACTGTGCAGTTAGTTTGCAGAGCAGAATAACAGAAGTCCTATACATTTCAGTGGTTTTGAATTAAAAAAGTAGGGAACGTTAGAATAAAATGTCTAACTTGAGACTTTGTCATTCTTTAGATTAAAGCAATAAATTCCATCTGCCCCACATTATTATATATATTAAGGGGAAGCTATAAAAAGCCTTTTAAGATTTTTTTTTCTTTTAAGAAAAATTAAAAACACATGATATTAACAAAATACATGTGTACATGTAAGATCTCTAAAAATGATACACGACGCTGCCTTTCATGAAAATTATAGATATTTGAGACAAGGATAAATATATCTGCCCAGGGAAAGCAGTTCATTGTCCTCTTTTATGAGTGAGGAAGACCTCTAATTTACTCAGACCAGAGGCATTAATGAGTTATTACATACTCTCTTACAAGAGCCACTTCTTTTCCAGCTTTCGTTTTTCAAAAGACAAAATATTCCATTTATGAATTCAAATAAAAATACCAATCTCACCTTGAATCCACAATTTATTAAAATTAATAAAGGTGCTTTGTTGACAGCGAGCACTTTTTTGTATTATATGACCACCTCAACTCATTTTTCATTTTAATGACTGCTGATAAGCATTTTAATCATATTTTGTTATTTGAGTCTAAGGTGTGTACGCGTGACAATCAGTTCAAAAATGGCAGTCAGTTCAACCAACCCATCGCTGAGGCAATTTTGTTTACAGATTGATGAAAACACCCGCCTCTACATGGTTTGTGTAACAGAAATAGTTATTAACAGCTTGGTGCCAGGAGACTGAATTTCCTGGGTGTGAAGTATACTGTTGGCGCAGGCTGCGCCAAGAACTGCTACATTATAGGATGAGCACACGCAGAAAACTCCTTCGCTGTGTTAGGGTATGGATCTGCAAGCACTCGAGATAAGGCAGTCACTATTTCAGCTGCACTCCTCCGTCACCAGCTACTGCAGAACACCCAGCCGGACACAGAGACAGAGTGACCAACCTGGGAAATCAGTTATGAACGGAACAAGTTCTTGTTAATCTCTCAGCACTGCTAGAAGTGGTCATAGGACCAAACCCAAATAGCCTGTCAGAAATTTTTGATCCCACAAACTGAGACGTGGCTCAGTAATTTCAGGAACGAGGGAAGGCCAGACCTTTCTAGCCCGCTGCCATCACAAGCAGTAAATGTCCACAGGCCAGGTTATGTCCCTTCCACTCCCAGCTCTGTGACAACTTAATTACGGAGGTCTGTGAGCTCCCAGTAAACAATTTGAAAGCACACAATAGAAAAAAACAGTTTGTTCCCTCCAGTCTATGCTGATTTCAAAGAGCCAGCAAATCCCCACAAGTAACGGGACAACAGTGCTGAAAGGAAGGGACGGAGTAAAGCAACACACATCAGCCTGCTAACTTTGCAAAAAATATGAAACAAAATCATTCAGATAAGTAGCTTTTTTGTGCTGCCTGAGCTCAACTCTTCCACAACAGTTCAGAGCAAGGCCAAGCACCAAGAGACAGACCAGAGGTCATGCTCAAGCCCCTTGGGGCTACTACTAACTAGGAGCCCAGAGGTCATGATCAATTTCTGCTAGTATTTATCAACAAGTGGATACACAGTTATTTTAGATTCAATACTGAATGAGTAAGCTTTCCTCAATTGCAACATACAATGCCAAGAACAAATAACACTGCAAATCTGTAACGCAAAGCATAAGTTTGAACTCACCTCCAGCCAGCACAATGTAGCACTCAGTTTCCTGACATTCCAAGATGACTCAACCTGATTTTAAGTGGAGACCATAAAGCAAATATCATCTAATTCAACATTCAAGACTGCTGGCAAACTATTTAAGATAACATTCCTGCTGCAATTTAAGGACCTTTGTGAACATGGAGGAGTAATTACACTATATGCATTGAAATGGTCACAGGACAGCATTAAAAGTTTTATTGCAATGCAGATGTTAAAATATCCGAAACAGTTTCTGTATTGGGAATATCTAGCCCTTGCACAAAGCCTTTAAAATACAACACCAATCACAGAGTAAATTATTTTTGTGGAATTCTGTCCCTTTTCAGCAAGCAACAGAAACGTCAATCTGCCCAGTGCATAAATCCAGATCAAGCTACAATGCCTTGTTTCATGAAAACAGCTCAAGACTTCTGGCTTTCAGAGGGTGTCCTAAAGCCAGCAGTATACATAAAATGTCATTATTCTTAAGATGTGGCAGATTCCTAATATTTCTGTGGTAGCGTGGTCTAGGCGGATGATTATGACTAAAAGCCAGGAAGCCTTCAACTATAACCCTGACTTTTGTAAAGATTTGTGTGGCCTGAATGTCTTAGTCTTCCTATTAAAGAGAAACAAAGACAGAATGTGTTTTCTACACATACCATATATGACTACTGCAAAGCTCAATGACGATTTGTACACGTGTTCCTCACACATATGCACCTCTGTGCAACATTAACAAACAATACAAGAGTCCTGTGATTACTCTGTTCGATAGGCAGGTCTGCATGGTTCTGCCTGCAATTCTAAAATCCATGCTTCACAATTCAGTCTGATTAGAACAGAATGGTTTTGATTATATGTTGCAATATTTTGATTAAAAGCATACAGAAAACATCTCCTTGGTTAGTATCAGCAGAGGAGATGTTAATGTTTTTCTCTGGAAAGCAGGTCCATTTTAAGAAGACAAGTTTTCCAAAGAACTGCACAGAATCCACACTAAACTTGTGCTATCTTCTTCCTTCTTTATACCTTATAAAAAGCCTAGGATACAAAACACAAAATAAAGCTGGCTGCTGTTCTATGCAAGAAACAGAAACACCAGAATACTGAAAGTGGAAGCCGCCTTCCTACTTCCCTCCAGGATTTAAATACTGGAGAAAAAAAAACTTCATTGCTGTTTTGTATTTAAATGTGTATTGATTTTAAGATTTTAAATGCCTAATGGCAGTTTCCAGAATGCCTCAAACATTTTTCATACTCACTGCACAAGCTTAAAAATAAAAATGAATCAGTCTAAAAAAAAAAAAAAATCAATTTTGTTAAAAGCACGTACCGATTGCCTATATAAAACACTGAATTCAGTCTCAATCCTACAGAATTAATGATTTTCCATGCTTTTCCAGAATCCAAATCAGCAAACTTACCTATTACAAAACAGTCAAAAAAAATCTGAAGAACTGTGTATATGAGAATGCTTTCATGAAATCTGCGTTTACATAAAAAAGACATCACAAATCAGAACCTAAGGGAAGTGTCTTTAATCTCCTGCATCTCCTTCACCTTGCTCCCATAGCTAAAATTCTGCTCCAGAAGAAGCATTTAGAAATTGCAATAATCCCGAATTGCATCCCAACAGCTCAATCTAGAGAAGGAATGTTTTGCATTGTAACTTAGTCAATGATGTATTTTTAAACACTTGGAATTAAGTTCACTTTGAAATTTAAGTTTTCCAAACAACCGAACAGGGTCTGGCAACAGGTTACTAAGACGTAGTGCATTTCCTTTTTTTTTTTTTTTTTTAATTACTTACATTTTGTTCTCCTTCGTTGACACAGATGTCATAGCAATATGCCAGAAGGATATCAATTAAGCTCAAATACACGTGATGACGGCTTCTTTTATCCAGAAGATAGGATTTATTTGTGAACCTTCTCAGCTGCTCTTTCTCTTCTTCAGTGAAGACAACTACATAAAGTAAAAGGATAATTGATTACGAATTTAAAGCTGACTCTTTGATTTAACGGGTGGTAATACTATTTCGACAGTATCTTTAAAAAGAAGCATTACTACTTACAAGTCACTCATCACAAGCCTAAATTATTCTTCATTATTTATTAAACTGATACACTCTTTGCAAAGTGAAGCTCCAGCCCTGCAAAGTATTACATGTATACACCAGCAATTTTGAAGCCCTCAGAAAGCACCAAGGATTCCCGTGGATGTGTTGGTAACTCACAGAGCAGTAAACGCATAATCGGGACCTGAAGGAATTTTAATTTACTAAGTCCATGTTGTACAGGATAAGAAGAACACAGAAGAAAACAAGTGTTTTTTTCTTAATTTAGCAAAGTGTAAGAACTAAATAAATAGGGAATGGGAAAAAAGGAAAGAGATAATTTTGTTTCTAAATGTCAAATTTTGACTCAGGACCGAGATACATCATTTAGGAGCATCATTTACACTGTCCAATAATATCCTCCTGGTGTTTAAGGAAGACAGAAGAAAGATGAAATCCTATCCTACTGATGGCAGTATGAAAGCTACAATTATTTCCAAAGAGCTATGGTTTCCACTGTCCGTGACCATTGCATTTTGCTCACCTTCAGTGTACCTTATTTAGTTAACAACAGCTATACTGAGCCAAGGCAGCGAACCACCGCACCCAGCTCCTTCTCTTTGGGATGCACAAAGAGGAAAGCACCACCACAGCAGGCATGCTGCAATAACGCATCAAAATATTTCTCTAGGGATCTGTGGTGCAGGCATGGAGAGCTGAAAGAGCATACTGAATGGCAAACTTTCTGAAGAGTACTTCAAGCACTTCAGGAAGGATGTCACAATTACCTTGAAATAACAGCACAGATTAAGGAGATAACTGACTAAAAGCCATCTCTGCACAAACTCGAAGTACATCGAGAAGTCATTTAGTAAAATTAAAGCAGCTAGAAGCCTGAGCTAAGAGATTTTCATCCAGGCAGCGTGGCGTGCAGGCGCTCCGTGTCAACAGGCTCTGATTTACTGAGTCGGATGGATGTGGCAGACACATTTTGGTCACACCACAAGAGAAAGTTACAGACACGAAGAGACTTGACAGGAGAAAGCTGTGTTACCAGCTGATGCTCTGTTGCACTGCAGAAGCCCCACTCCACTATTTTGCAAGTACCAGCAAAACTGAACCAATCTGAGTTTAAGGGTGGCAGTCATTTAGGGAGATTTCTGAGAAGATGGGTACAAGCCTAATGCAGTGCTCTCCTTACATCTTCATAACAAGCCCTAAGCACGAGAGTGGATACATGGTGTGCCCCTTAGCTTAGTGAATTTGATTTATTCTAGGAAAGGAGAAAAAACAACACCTTATAATATTGAAATCTCTCTTCAGTTATTCTTTTACCACCTCTTTTCTGAGTCACCGTGTTCTGCCATACTCAGCTGGGGGCAGAGAGAGGCTGAAAACAAAGCATCCAAACTTAAAAACAAAAAGCAATTATTGGTAAACACTCCAGGATGAGGGGTTGATACTGGACAGTACACTCAGCACCCTGATAAAGCGCCTGGAGTCCCTGGTAGCCAGGCACCAGTCAGGAGGGGAAAGGTCAGCTTCTGCAGCTCTCCAAGACAGATCCTCAAATATTACTGAGCTGCCATCTTCCACCAGCTTCATTAGCACTAACAACTTGACCTGATAACCCAACAATTCCCACCTCAACTCCCTATTTTCCACATCACCATTTAGCTCTGGAATCCTTAAGCTACTAACAATCCTGCCTCCACAACCTTACCTGTAATTCTACCACTCTGATTTTTCTGTGGACTTTCTCACAGCCGTCAGTGTGAGCCAAGGTTACGCGGCTGGGACGTAGCAGAGCCCCGGACCCTTGGAATACAAAGAAATCCCTCAGGAGAGCTTACAGCACAGCTTACAGAGAGAGAAGGTTACAACTCCTGGTAAACCAAGTTTCTTTTTACTTCCCTTACTCATTTCACTACTGTAAGGATGATGATCATGAAGGTGCTTAGAGATGTTTCTCCTCAATTCATACAATCCACATTCTCAGAGATGCTACCCCTCTACAAGACACGTGAACTTCTTCATCCAAGGAGCTTTCTACAAGACTTCTAATTTTACAACTGTTTTCAAACAAATGTCTGTGATACCAAAGGCACATACATATGCACACACCTCGTATTGAGGCATCAAATTACAAATTAAGAAAAACGTTTTTGAATGTTTCTTCTTTATGAACTTTTTAAACGTTTCAGCTTCATAACCATGAAATGCTTGATTTAAATTCCTATGGAAACTTCTTTACGAGCTAAAACATTTCTCTGGAGCGGAGCCAGTCTCCATTTATTTACAAGCTCCCACAAAAAAATTCCAGCTTTTATGTCATCTTAAGAAAGCTGATCTCTTCCATTTGCTATGATCAAGTACAAAATGACAATTTAGTGAGACTGTGGCAATTCAACTCTGTTTTCCCATTAATGCAATGCAGCTCAGTATTATCCCCTAAATCACCAACATAGATGGCACATCTATATTCTATCAGCAAATTTCTTGGCAAGTTCTTAAAATGCATTGATTGTTCAGCGCGTCACCTCCATCATTCATATTAAAATTGTCCATAAAACCATATGTGCAATGTTGTAGCACGCTGGAAAAAAAAAGTTAGTTTCTGAAAAATATAGCATAAAACCACTCCGAAAGTTGCTACAGTAGGGTGGGTTTAATGAGGTATCACAACAGGGTGTTTACAGTTAGGAGATCCAATTAGGAAGAAAAAAGGCATTTCCAATTTCAGCAAGCTTTCCACAGAAAACTCTCTCCTGGAGTAGAACACAATTTATTATTAATAGTATATGCAAGTGGCACTTTCATCCTGAAGAGAAACACAAAAAAGCAGAGGTAAAACCAAAGCTAAAGAACAAAAGAATTTCTGAAAGAAAGAAAAAAAAAAAAAACACAGGAAAAAAGCCCAAGTCTGCAAGCAAAGACTCCTACATCAGATCACATTCATAAAGCTTAAAATCACTTCCAGGGACTACAGAAGTAAAGCAGTTTGCTACAAAGAAACTAACGACTCTCATGCTTTGAAAGAATTGTGCCACAGAACACATTTTCTGCAGGATATAAGTCATTTACCCCAGCACTCTCCAACTTCTAGGTCCATCTCACTGTGCTTGCTGCAAGCAGCAGCCAAGATGGGCATGTATCAGGATCACTTCTGTTCTCCTCCAAACACTCACTATACCAAGTACTGGATCTACTACCGAGAACTCACCTTCCACTGTTCTTAATCAGTTACTTAACAATTCCAAGTGGATGTTTGTCTCACAGCTGATGACAGTTACCAATGAGATCTCTCTCATCCAGGTTAAGGAACAGCCCAACACTGACAGCAAACATTTTTAATTCTACTATTGAATACCTGTTAGATTCCCTAGAATCCATATTCCAGAGGTATATGTAAAATGGCAACAATGGTTCTAAGTAGGAAGCAAAGAAATTGTGAATTCAGTGAATTTCATTAAACGTGACTTTTCCTCCTCTAAAACGCAAACTCTGAAGCATTTTGACATATACAACTGGACCATAATCACAGAAAAAACAAGTCTACCAGACAAGAGCAAAGAAGCAGCAAGACTAGACAATTCCCAAAGGTAAACGCTGCAAGATGTTCATTAACTTAGTTACTGCAAAGTACCAGGTGTTCTTAATAAAATTTCTCTCTGGAGAAAATACTTGAAGTTTACAAATAAAGATCCATCAATTCCGTAAAGATCTTGAAGAATAAATTATCCAGGCCGAAAACTAATTATTAGCATGTCAAAACCACCACCTACTTTGTTTTCCTAATTCAAAAATACAAGTGTATAGTACAAGGTAATCAGAACAAGTGAAATCATAATTACATTTTCTGCTATATTAAGCCTGTGCTTTGTCCATTGGCATTACCAATGTTTTATCTAACAATGCCTCCACAACAATCCATAGTTGCTTTCTGAAAAGCAGCATCTGCTGCTGCTGTTTATCAAATCCTAAATTTGCAACTTAATTTGGATTTTAAAGCATTTTATGTTTGTCACTGCCAAAATCATGCCTCTTCCTGTTACAGTGGGACGGTGTATTCATACATTAACATCTAAATGAATCGTGCAAATTAATCTCACACACAAATTTACTGCTATACTGAGACTACCCTCACTTTTTTAATCACTTCATTTACTTATTTTAAACTACCATTTCTCATTAACACATTTCAAACTGCTCCTCAGTACAGTGAAGTACAATTTAATCCCTAAACAGGACGATGCTTTCTTACCATGCGGCTAAAATTTTATACAGCTGATCACATCACTTAAATTCTAGATAAGGTTCGGAGTATTCAGCACTCAAGAGTGCAATATCTGTATCTCAAGACTGTTGTGAAACTTAGGGTTCTGCATGTGTTGTGTTAGGGGTACTGAGATAACATGTGCTACCTAGAGCGAGCCAGCTCAGTGGTCAGACTCGCAGAACCATAGAGAAGTCTAGGTCAGACAGGACTTCTGGAAATCAGCTGCTCCAGCCATCAGCTCACACCTATTGTGAGCTGTAAGCAGTTTTAAACACCATAAAACTTGTAGTCTCTTAGCAAGCAATGTGAGTGGAAGTACCTCACCCTCTCAGCAGCTGTTTAAAGGCTTCTTACTAGAAGCACCATCTAATACCAGCGACCTTCTCCGTATCCTTCTAGGTACGTTAATACACCTTGCTGGAATGCATTCAGATTTCTCCCACTTCTAATGGAAATGATGCAAAGTTTCTCAAGTAGTAAAGAAGGTCATTTACTCAGCACAGTCCTTATTTCTATGTGCATTTTCTGTGTCGTTTCCATTTACTCAACATGCATACTAGGAAACATATTAATGCAGATATGCAATCGAATTGCAACCAGTTTGTGAGAATTCCTGGATCTGTAACCCAGATAAACCAGATCTGTGACCCAGATTATCCAATCCCTTCAACCGGATAAACCATAACAGCAATACAAGAACATTTTAATCCTCCTATTGATCATAAGACTCCAGATCGAATAGCCTGGACCCTTTCCTGCCCTTATTTCCACTATTCAAGTGGAACCTGTACTCCCCCTCATGGTGGTTTCTTTTACCACAACTCATTCAGGTTTAGTAGCCTCTGAAGGCTTCAGATCCTTGTTCTGCTGCCTGCCATCCAAACTCTATTACCAGAACAGAGGTCTAAGTTGGAGGGCACATGGGGCCTGTTGTCATTACCTAGCCCAAACACCAGATGGCCACTTACGCTATTCAAATTTACTCAAGATCCCCAAAACTACATGAGCCTCTTCACTCTGCCATATGAAGGCCACACTAAGCTTTATTTGAGCATCCTGATTACAAAAAAGTCTGTTTTAACAAATGCTTTAGAGAAAAGATGAGCCTTTGTGAAGTCTCAATTTCTGCATTACTTTCCTTAGCAGGCTTGCCAGGCTTTTGAGCAGTTTCTGTATTGCTGCTTCCCCTGAAGTCCGAGAACATATGCACGTGGGTTTTTTAGAACTTTAATTTGGAATAAAAAATTATTCTTTATCAATAAAATCATCCAGCAGCTCTTCATCCTTGTTATACTCCTTTACACAAACATTATCAATATTTCATTCACTAAGGAAAGAATGGGTAAAAACAAACAAAAGATCTCCTCGTTATTCTGTTTCCAAGCCTCTTGTACCTTTGTCCAACGCTTTTTAAATCAAACACTTATGGTGGATGTAATTAATTTCTGGTTTCAAAGGCTGAAGAGAGATCAGTAATGAAGATCAGATTACATTTGCAGTAAAATACACAGCATTACCCAAATTCCATTGTTCTACCCCTGTAGAAGATGTGCAAGTGCAGGTATTATTAGTGTGCTAATATTTTATTTGTTACAGAACCTCTGCTAAAGGGATTATCGTTATCTGCTTCAGAAACATAGGATTTTCATACTATAGAGGAAATGAGGGAAGGACAATAAAAGAATATGCATAATAGTAACTTGTAATAGTCTCCACAATCATTGTGTTCAGAAGGGTAATCTCAGTTATCTGGTAACAGTACTGTTACAAGGCCATCTATTTAGCTTCTACATTGACACAAAGGTCTTCCCTTGAAAAAAAGTCTCTAGGAACTATAAAAACAGTTCAGTAATAAGTACCATGAATGTCTGTGGCACTGTATAAATAGCAGGCGACATGACCATCAAACAGAGGTAAGGGCTGACACTAGGAGTCTTCCACAACTGATTGTTGGAAAACTTGCTGTGAAGTGTCTGCACCACATTTTTAAGTGGGCGCAAAACACGGTTTAGACTATTTATTCTATCAAAACACAACTAGAAAAGGGGAAACAATTACCTGAAAAAAAAAAAAATCAGGAAACAAAAGAAGGGATAAGCACCAGCAACAAACAAGTGACTCACATTCTAACTAAACACAAAGACAGGCTTCATTTGAATTCATATGCTGTGACTTGCTGACTGTGGCAGTTCCTTTAAAATCTGTAAAAGTCCCAGCACACTCTTAAAAGTAAACTTTTTTCTTCCCCCCACAGATACCTGAAATTCTAAGATGGCCTTTAAGAACAGTTAATTCCAGAATTTATTATGGAGACCAAAACCAGATAATGCACTACACTCCAAAAACTAACAGGTAAATACTTAAAATGAAATGACCACTTTATAATGTACTGTGAACTCCTCCCAATTTCAGTATACAACTATCCTTCAAAGAAGCAAGACAGTAACAGAATACTTGTCTTCCAGACTAAAAATTGTAGGCTAACACCATACTTTTCCCTTTAAGGATGATAACCTAGAATATAACAAGGCTTCACAGCAATTATTCTGTAACAGGTACATACACACAAACACACACACACACATATATATAAAATGCTCTCACCTACTGCATTGCTGTCGTGTTTCTGATGACTTTCTCCCTGCAAGGCTACCATTTTTTCATGAGCCTCAACCCACCACGGTTTGTATTTCAAAACATGCTGAATAGCTTCATCTTCAAAAAAGTCAGCTCTGAGGAAAAAGAAGAAATAGTACTCAGTTAGCTTTCTGGGCTGCAAGGGCACATTGCCAGCTCAAGTCAAGCTTCTCATCAACCAACACTCCCATGTCCTTCTCCTCAGGGCTGCTCTCAGTAACATCCTACTGTGATGAGACAAAGGGGCAGATAAGAAGTAAAGCTATTATTTCCACAAGTGTTCTTAAAACCAAGCATCCATAGAAGAAGTGATTATTTCAACTGAGATACTTTTACTTGACCAGGTAAAATTAAACAGTACTCACAGGTAATGATCAGAATCAAACTTAGCAGCTTCTGCTGCCAGGCGTTCCTTCCTACGTTCACATACTGGAGTTTTGTCTGGATCCTTAACGTCTACAACATCACTGAGTTCATCCTGAAAATGCATCAAGAGTGAGATGACAAAGCTGCAGATACAACATGCAAGATTCATTTAGTAAAAGTTTATGAAGGATGCTTATAAGCATTACAGTGTAAAGCCTAGATGCTGTCCAACTTCTCTTTCAAATCTTTCAAATTCAGGCTCTGCTGGGCAAATAAAAGATCAAAATTCCAATGAGTTACAATTATAACAAATTCTAAGGACCTTCAAATATTATGAATTCTATTAACGCCTTTATACCATAAGGCAGACAGGTTATTTTGCAGTACAATGACAATTGCTATGTTTAACAAAAGCACACAACCACAAGAAGGCAAGATAAAAATCATAGCTATTGTTCTTGTGACTCTTGAGATTACTGCTACACTCTGAAGTGGCCATACATTAATTAACAGGCGATTGTAGTGCCCTTTTAAATATCATCAAGCAGTGGTACTTTAATGCTGATGGGAAATGTACTTCTTCGGAAATTTCATGGTAATAAACCAGTGTATATATCTGAACAGAATGCAAATACTTTCTCCATAAATAGCAATCGTTCTGCTCCAAACCCTTAAAATCCTACAATTCAAGCACTCGTAACTTACAGTTATATGATTTGTTTTAAGCACCTACTGGCAAAATTGCTTGGTGTAAGAACTTAAGCAGAACATTAAAAAACAATAAATTATCAACTACTACTTTAACAAAAGCTTTGCACGCTATGAAAGGTATTCTCCTACCTCGCATGTTACTGGGTGTAGATTACCTTCCATCTATTCATGAAATAAAATAACTTCTGAATGTACAATAGCAAAGTAACCACATTTTAAAGTTCCTGCCCTGCCAACTAATCCACAAAAAGAAGTTCCAGTGCATCAGCATAACCCCAGCAAATCTAACAGATACCAGGTGGGCGATCACCTTGAAGAATTATGATCTCAACCAGTAAATACCACCTAATTATATTTCAATTTATTTTATTCAACATAGTAGATAGCTAGGCATTGCCCTCTTCATGAAATATTTTATAAGTCTAACAGTAGAAGGGCTTCACTTTGCATTTTTTTAAATCTAAGTATTTATTCAATTAAAAAAAAAAAAACACCTAATAAGAAATAACTCTGACACACAATTAACTCATTCAAGCATCTCTATTTTCGCAGAAAAACAAAGATCTGTCTGTACTATTACATGCAAGGGCATAATATACTCAGTCTTGGAATGGGACAATGGAGAACTGTTACCTAACAATCCCCTCCTGACTATGGAATGAGCCAGGAAGCCTACTCAACAGGAAAGCTACCTGGAACTTTTGTTAGGAAATATAAAAATGCATCTACCTGCAGCCGCTGGAACACCCCCGAACGCAGATTCCCAAACCCATAGTAGTACTGTAGTGCTGGAAAGCTTTCTGCAGTTTCTTTATAAGGGGTCTGCTCTATTTCCCATTCAAATTCTTCTTCCTCCTCCTCCTCAGACAACACAGCAGAGGCACCTGCATATATTGCATGGTCAAAGGAACAAAATTATTGTGTAGGAAACATATACAATTTAAAAGAAAGGCAAACACCAATAACAAAATAAGCATTTTTCATTGTTACATCTTTAAGAAATGTTTTACTACACTGGATCAGCTGTAACTTCCAGAAAAACAAAAGAGGGGAAAAAACAGACGCAGTGGACGAATGTGAACAGCACAACTCCAAATCCCCCTTTATCTTATCCAGTTGACTGAGAGCATCCTGAGAACTTCCCTACCAAATAAACCAAGAAGTTTGAATGAAAATTAGCTATAACAGACTAGATTCATAGATAACAAGGCAAAAAGACAAAGATTAGGAAAAAGCTTTTTTTTTTTTCCTGTTGATGCAATGCACAAATTCCCAAATATGGATGTTCAAAATTTGTGAGGTTTCATTGGACTTCTTGTGCTGCTATCCCAAAGGGCGGTCTTCCAAAAAATTATAACTCTTGTCACCTGGAATCTGCAATAGTATCACTTTCACACACAAGCCCCATTATTTTCCAATTGCATTATAAGGTTGAAGGGTGGCATGTGCCTGTATCACAGTTCATACTGGAATAGTGTGAATCACTGCCTCTGTCACAAAGGATTTAAGTGAACAAAGAAAAAAAGACATTCACTGGTTACTGAAGTGTTTCAGACAAGCAGATGATTAAACCAAGAATCATAGATCCTGCACTAGATTCAACAAATTTCAAAACTGGAGACAAGGAAAACTGAAGCTTTTTGAGTACACTCACTCAAAGTCTGAGATCATTGTTCCACTGTATACAGCCACTAGAGGGGTACAAAGATCTACAGAGGATTAGCATATATTAAACACACCTTTAAAAAATGTGATCACAACTAAGCCTACAGATACAACACCTCTAACTCCTGAAGACATTCCTTTCAATACTTACTAGTAATTCCAGTCTCATTCATACTCCGCTTGTACCTTGGACTAAGTAAGAGTAGAAATACTCTTATTTTTTGTAATATATATATATATATATATATATATATATATATATATATATATAGGTAGATCTATTTTCCTATTTTCTTATGTATCTGTATCGATAATATAACTAAGAGACTTCTTTGTCTTACCTATCTCCTCCACTAAATGTTTTGCTGATCTTGATTTTTTTGGTGCTAAAAGGGATGTTACCATATCCAGTCCTTCAAAATATTGCCCAGGACTCTCCTTAGGTAATCGAATTGTCAAGGTCCCTTAAAGGAAAGTCAGAATATAGTTATGATATTAAAATAATCACGACAAACAAAAAACGTGCATTTTTCCTCTAATGAAAAAGGCTCTCAGAAATTGGGATACATGCAGGTAGCGTTTTATTGTGCATCCATCTCTGTGCATGCTTTTAAACACACCTAACAAGTTTCACAGAAAAAGATTTTTATGATAAAGCACAGAAGAGAATATTTAATGAGTTGTGGTCTCTTGACTCACATTGCATAACACACCAACAGAAAACAAGCTTGAATTTATCCTGAATCCGTCCACCAATCAAGCCATCAACAGAAGATCATAGGAAGCTATTCAGCATTCTGATTATTGTTCCAAGTCAGTACATAATAAAGGCTTTGCAAGCCTTTTGTTTTGTTTATGAATGCGTTTATTCCAAAAGGTAAATACTGTTTTACAGAAATACCATCCACCTTAAGAGAGAGGACTGTCATGAGACTGCCTCAGGATTACCTCATTTTTGCTTAGTACTATCTGACTTCATTGTGGATTTGCTAGACTAATGATCTTTGTACAATGGCATGTCTGGCCCCTATGGGCTCAAAGGAAACTTGTACATATTTTTTTCATTATTAGGACAGTTATGGAATGTCATTTGTGCTTACTGATAGCTTAAGTACAGCAAATCCCCAGCAATTTCTTTTTTTTTTTTTATACCATGTAACATGGGAGAAGCTTTGAATTTATTTACAGTATCATATACTTTGCTAAATGCAATTCCAGGAAGCGTAAGTTACTGGAGAGTTAGTAACATTCTTAAAAACTAATATACTAAGAACATTAACCATACGTTTGTCTACGTTGTAAGATGCTTTTTCTCTGCCATCTTCCACAATTCTTCCAGGAAGCGTCAACCTGTGGGCAAGAAGCGAGATGATGACTGAATGCCTGACTAATTGTGCAACTTAACATCTCAGCACACAGACATGTAAGGTGCATTCCAAAAGGAACACAAACAATTTAGCTACATGATTCCTCTTGATACTAACAGAAGCGATAAAGCTAAATCCTTATGCAGTTCAGGGTCACAGCCACCACAGAGACAAACAACATCCTTGGCACAACGTGCAGCATTTGGAAGATTCTGTAATTTAAAAATTCTAAACGAATCTAATCTACAGTGATGTGACATGAGGTAACTAATTCACTGCATTCTACCAACCTACTAAGACCCCTTGTGGTCTGCTAACATGTACTGGGGAAGCTTATCCAAGAACACAGGAAACAGAAAATAAGGGTTAATAACTCATCAGCTCTTACATGCCAAAGGTTCCCTTAGTAATTCCCTACTGAGATTGCCTCTTGGTCCTTTTCTGCAGCATAGTGGGGAACTTTCAAGCTATAGACTTGACTTCCTGCCACCTGTACTCACGTCTTTTCTCCGTATGTTATTGGGCATCGAAATACATTCTTCATCAAATATATTGTATCTGGGTCTACATCACTTACACGCACCCAAAGAACCATGTTGTCATTTTACAACTAAAACTCTATGGTATGGTAAACTCAGAAAAGCAGTTATTTAAGTTCCTTTTAAGGTGACTTAATGTCTGGAAACAAAGTGAATGGATCCACAGGAAGAATTCCTTGCAAAAAAATGGCCTGCCTGAAGTCAAGAATGTCAGAGCTGTAGATGAAGAATGATCTGAAATATCCCACACGAAGTTCATTTTCTACTGATTTTTATGTATTTGATGAAGCCCAAAGTTTTTTTTTTTTTTAAATGCTTCTACTACTTGCCTGAGAAAGTAAGGCTTAGAATAAAATTTAAAGTCTTCCCCTTCAAAGTACAAGTCGAACTCTGAAGCTCTTGCATAAGGTACATCAATGATTATTGTAAGGAAATCTGGATCCTGGCTCAGCTCAAAAGCTGGAGTAATCATGATGAATGCTGCGGGCAAAGCAACCACTGACTATACAGTCCTATCAAAACAGAGAAACAAGAAAAGGTTAGTATGTTGTAGTTTCCATTTTATGAAAGTAAATAGAATCTCTTGAAAATTTTGCATGAAAAACATTTCAGATTCTCACAGAATTATCTTCTACACACTCAAGAAGAAAACACTCATGAAAACAGAAACAAAAAACATGTTCCTATCAAGAATACGAAGGTACCATCTTGCTGCATCATAATGAGAACTTATCATAAAAGAACACAAACATTTGGAGCACACAGAAGTATTTAATACATTCATCATAAAAAGCACACCAAGTTCAGTCCTAAAATTTGTCTGTTTTCTGTAACTGTTACTTAGTATTTCACAACGAACCGACCATAAACCATGATTAAAAACGTTAAAAAAGAGCAGTGTTTTATAGTAACTGCAGCTGTGCTTTAAAGTGGCATGCACAGGTGAGCTGGACCACAAGCAACAGACAGAGTACATCCCACACAGATGAGCTGGGTGCACGCCCTGAGCATCCTGCCCTTCGTGTCACATTTAACATACGCCACGGGGCTGGTATGTGCAGAGCAAGTCAGAGGTGCTCCTGCGCAGCAGGCTCAGGCCACAATAGCTGTCTCAGCAACACAAGCAACTGACAGGCTTGGATTTCCTCATGTCCATTACAAGCACACTTACTGTTCTGATCAGTTTGCAACTTTCTGGTCAGTTCCAGCGATGCCGAGTTCGCAGCCCAGCCCCAGTTCTGCCTGCAGATTCAGCCAAAGAGCACCTGAGTACGACAAGTTGCATTGCATTAAGTTACCTGCACTTGGAATCTCCCTCACTGAGTGATTTTAAGGTTTGAATCATCACCTAGCAGCATCAGATGTATGTTTGTACATGGGCGAGTAAATATTCTGAACGAGGGATTTACAAAGTAGCACCCATCTGATATATATAACCTGTCTCACTCCTTAAAAGCTTCCTTACGCGGGATATTTTTTTAGGTTTAACTTAGAAACCAGTTTTAATTAAGAATATATATATAACATTTGAAAAATCTTTTTACCTAAACAAGAAAAATACGCTGAGCACCACCTGAAAGTGCGGCTCCCCCCATGCCGCCCCCCAGCCCCCCCCACACCACCCCATCCCCAGCAGCGCCTGCTCCAGCTTAACGCCGCGTTTTCCCGAATTTCCCAATTTCCCAGCCTTTTCTCTTGTTTTAAATAAAAGAACACACAAACCGGCCCTGCTGCGCACGTGAACCGTTGCCTCAGCGCACCTCTCCCCCGGGGCGCCGCACGGGACCCGCCCGGCTCCCGCAGCCGCCTCAGGAGGCGCGGGCTCGGCCGGGGGGCCGGCTGCAGCCCGTGGGCAGGGCCCGGGGACCGCACCCGGGGCAGCACCGGAGGGACAGGACAGGATGGGACGAGGCACGACGAGGCCGTGCCTCCGCCACTCACCATGCCCAGGCTGTGGCGGTAGCGCATGTGCGGGCCCGGGCGGGCGGGCGGCAGCTCCGCCTTCAGGGGCGGCCTCGCACAGAACCGGCCCACACAAGCCCTTCCCAAGCCCGTCCCTCACAAGCACAGGCTGCCTCCAGCTCGCTGCCCGCCCTCGGAGGAGGGCGGTGGAAAGGATGCGAGGGCGCCCCCGCTGGCCCTGGGTTCGGTTTTCCCCTCACAGCATGGCGCGGGCTCCCCCTTGCTCCTCCATAGAGAAGCCACGGCAGTGACCGTGGTGCTGTGGTGCCTCTGGCGTCCTGCTTTTGGGGTTGTGTAAACGGTCTGAAACAAGTGAAAGCAGTATTTGATGTTTTTAAAGCCCTGAGCCTCAACTACTGTCACTGCAAGTCTTATAAATCTGGCAAAATCCTTCTCAAGAGGGATGGGGTGCTGTGAGGGGAAGGCTGCCCGCATCACCCCAGCGCTTTACTCTGATAACCGCAGGGATAGCTGAAAGTGTTGGTGTTGGACATGGCCAGATCCCGATCCTTAAATACAGGAGGCTGCTGGAAGTAAATTCAGTGCCACAGTTCAAAATACAACAGCTTTATATGTAAGTACAACATGTGGGGAGAAGAAATACCTCAGGAGAGAGGGAAACTGAGGAGTAGGAATGGAAGGTTTGGGCCTAATATAATTCAAATTAAGGTATTAAGGATAAAGTGATTTCAAGAGCTGAAATGCAGAGCAGTGCAGAGGAGCAGGAAAACACAGATCGGTCCCACAAGTACTGCTGGAACAGGATGCCCAGTTCCGTGAGTATCTCGCAGGAGAGCAGGCAGATGTGAACCAGATTGTCCGTGTGAATAGAGGCAGAGCCTGATGATGCCAAGGAACCAGCATTTGGGACAAAGCACAAGAGGCTCGAGGAAATTGATAAAAGCAGAAAATTCTGTTTAAAAGCCAACTATTTAAATATAGAATTTTATGTAAAATTAATCTGATTTTTCTGTCATTAGACTATGAACGGTATTCTGGTTCCACATCATTCTCTACGTTTTTAAGTGCTACTGATTCTCTTCTCCCTGTCCCCTGTGACATGCATTCAAATGTTTGTCCTGAAGGGATACAACCTCTGCTGACAAAGCTTAAAAAACAAAATAGACAAACATTCTTCCATGCTGATAAAGATTGATTTTCTTGCTGGAAATCCAAAGGATCTGGCATCTCTTCATGAGAAAACATCTTCACTCACACAGAACTGAAACAGCAGTTTAAATACCATGCAGTATTTTGTTGACATGCACAAAAAGCAAATACTTGCTTCAAAATAGATACTTCTCCCCAATGATCTAAAACGGACGGACAGTTTTAATACACAGCCTAAATGTTCCCATGTCCCATTTTTTCACATGCAGAAATTGAAGATGCATTGTATATAGAATGCATTTTTTGGATTAAGAAGTTAATGGCATGTAATTTCAGATGCTGATTTGACTTAGACCAAGGCCTCAGAAACTTTTGATGCATTTCCAGAGAACTTCAGCACTAATTAACTTTTGGACCTTGCCAGTACAATCTGTGGTGTGTTGGACAGGAAGCTAAATTATGAACCACTAGACACCATTCTCTAGATAAGTTCAAATTCACATAAGATGAGTCTGTGAAAGATAAGAAGTTTCATCAGAGAATTCATTCTGGTCTAACTGACGCTTTCCAAGACTGCCTCAGAATTATTTTTTTCAGACTAATAACTCCTAGCCTTTTTTGACTGGTAATACTTTGCCTGTAAAAGAGAATTTATATGCTGATTTCAGTAAGGAAACTGGCACATCAGCCAAAAGTTAAATTGACTATTAAGGCTCCATATTTAAATTTTCTCAAAATATAACTGTACTTTAAATTAGTTCCTTACAGATCTACATAATAAATCTTACGGTATAGCACAGGCCTTTGAATGATTTGCCTCTCAATACATATGATGTCATGGTACTGTGGCTACAATATAAATTATGCAGAACACACTTGGTGTTAATAAATTTGTTCAAATGAAGTCTAAAGTATGCAAAGTTTTACTTAAGCATGCTTTCACTGTTTTTGTTTGTTTGTTTGTTTGTTTTTTGTCCCCCAGACCTAAGGCATCTGTTTGATTATCTCTGTAGCTACTGTCATGGAACAAGATTACACATCATGACCAGTCCATTGCTTTGCTGCCAGAGTTGAACACTTTGGAGAGCGCAGTGGATTTAGCAGTGCTGACTAGAAACTGTGCCATGGAATTCTTCTACAATCTGGTAATGGAACAGATTTTGTTTGAGCGTGCATGTTGGTAGCCCAGAAGAACTGGTATCTTCACATCTTTGAAAGTTTGAAAGAAACTGGTGCAAATAGGCAGGTAAGTGTACACTGTAGCATATCACACAAACAAGGGAAAAAATCTCCAAAATCACGTTAGGAATGTTTTGCATATTCCATAATGTTTATCCTGGCATTTTTATGTAGACATTGCTGGCACATCTATATATAAAAAAAATATTATTGATAAGTAGTATAAAATCACACATTTTACTGGTTGAGGATTTCATGGGATTGCTATTGATAATCATTTTTATTAAGAAGGAAGTTTGGTAGGGTTTTGTTGTGGTACATATATTCTTAGAAGAGAGCATATGGTTATGCATTGTGGTTTTTCTGTAGCCTCTCATTTAGTACTGCTATTTTCTCCTTGTATGAAGTAATTTATATTTTGACATCTGCTCAGAATTAAAGTTGGATGAAATTCTGAAACCGTACATTTTCTTCACATCTCCGTTGATAGTAAGGCTAAGTATTTTTTAGGATACCATTGGTGAAGACTTGTGACATCGGTACAAAATGGCCAAGCTGTGTAGCTTTGCCAGCCACTAAATGCATTTTAGTAGTGAAGGACCAGCTCTTGGGAGACCTAGCCTCAAAGTAAATATGACTTTACAGAGCAGGGCTGTGCAGCAGGAAGATTCACCCTTTTGGGTGAGGTGCATCATATACACTGTACACTGCTCCTTACCTTTCAAGATTCAAGAGGCTTTGGCCTCACAGCCTGCAGTTACCTCTCTGCAGTGGCGTGCTTTCCCTCAGGTAGCACTGCGGCCTCTGTGGTGGTCTTCACATTTATTTTAAAACTAACAGTCCAAATAGCCTGACGGAGAGCACATCTCCAGAGAGGTGAGAGACAGCAGGAGAGCTGTGTTTGTCATGAGCCCCACAGCTGCTCCAGTGCAGCTTGTTAGCTCATGGTTGTCCTGCACAGCATTCCCTGGAGCTGAAATGAGCACGCAGAGTCTGAGTTCAAGCAGTAAGGCCATGAGGAATGGGTGAGGCTACAGCTCCTGCTCCCTGTGATGATGTTTGTGCCTCTGTTCTTTGCAGAGCTTATGCTCCAGCTCCACGGGGCAGCAAGAATCCTCGTACTTCCATCCTGTAACGGACATACATTAGCTTACAAACCTACGCAGGTTTTACTTCTGCGAGTTTATTTCTCAAGCTTATTTCTGGAAGGGGTTGCCCAGCGTGTTGTAGGACAGGCTGGACGTGGTGCTTGGGGACAGGGTTCGGGGGGTGACAGTGCTGTGAGGGGCAGTCGGACCCCAGGATGCTGGAGGCCTTTCCCAACCTCGGTTCTCCTGCGAAGCTGCCGGTGCTGCTCTCCCAGTCCCTCCAGCACAAGCCCCAGGAGTCAGCAGCTGCTCGTCGAGCCCCCAATTCCTTCACGAAGTTTTATTTCTTCTTATTGCAGTGGGGCAGGCGCTGAGGAGCCGGCCGCCTTCCTCCCCTCACAGCGGGGCCGGGCGCTAACCGGGGGCCGCCTTCCTTCCCCGGGGAGAGGAGGAGGAGGAGGAGGAGGAGTGAGCGGGGGGGGAAGCAGCGGGACCACCCCAAGCCTCCTCCCCCGGTGCCGGTCCCTCCCCGAGCCCCTCCCGGCCGTGCCGTGCCTCAGGGCCCGGCTCCTCCCCGCTGCCGGCCGGGGCTCGGCGGCCACGTCCCCGCTCGGGGCCGCTCGGGGCGATGGCGGCGGCGGTGGTGGCGGGGGCGACCCCCGGCCCTTAGCCCCTCGCCACCCGCCGTGGCCATGCGGTTGTCCTGCAAGGTGGCGGCGGCTCTGCTGGGGCTGGCCGGCCTGCTGCTGCTCCTCTACCTGCTGGCCGGCCGCCACGCCGCCCCCCGCCCGCCGCCGCCCCCCACCCGCCCCGCCGCCCGCCGCCAGCCGCGCCTCGGCCGGAGCCCACCGCGGAGGAGCGGGGCCGGGGGAGCCGGCGCCAGGTAAAGCCCCCGGAGCTGCCCCCCTGCGAGCAAACACCACGGGGGTGGTGGGGGGGGGGGGCTCGGAACCGGTGTGAAGCCGCGGTGTGCCCTGGAGGGGTGGCTTTTGCCCGGCGGTGGGGTGCGGGGAGGTGCTGTCACCCCCTAAATTGTGGCTGGGGAGGGGGTCCGAGCGCTGCAGGGCGGTGTGAGGGGGCTGGGAGGTGCTGCGTGGTGCTGCCGTGTCCCGAACGGTGAGTATCGACAGCTTTTAAGCTGCCCAGGTCTGGTTTTAACTGCTCTTTACACGTAAATTATCATGAAAGATTGAAATCAGGCTGTCTCGCGTTCCCTCGCCTAGTACCTCACAGATGGGATACTTAAAAAACGTGAATATTTACAAAAAAATCTAATTACTTCAGAAAAAGAGGCAGTGTGTGCGTTCAGTGGGTGGAGGGCTGCGTTCCCCGTTGCATTCCAACTTTATTATGGTCAGTGTGACCTCATATATCTAATTAACTTGGTATGTCTTTGTGCCTTTGATTCGTGATTTCACAGAGATGTTCTGAATGAAAACTGTTCCTGTTTCTTGAGCTCTTATTCCTTAACTTGCTGAAGCAGTTGGTTTCTTACAAGCATTGTTGCCCTGCTGAATGCAAGAGATGTTTACTGTGGCTGAGAATGTGTCACGGACAGAATTCAAATGTGTGTATTAAAGCAGGATTATTTCCACTAGCAACTGTACCTCCTGAAGTCATTTTTCTTTAAGGCATATCTCTGTGATTATCATGGAAATCGAGAAGAA